GCACTCTTTGCTCTGTATCTCCGTAACGGCTGGACCTGCCTTTGCCAAAAACTAATCAGCACATCTCCGTATCAATAGAGATCGAATGTTTTTTAAACCATTCAAATCGGTTGATCCGTGCGCCCGAAAACGTGGACGAAAAAATGCGGACATACAAAACACACACACATACACACACATCCATTTTTTCTGAGGTATGCCAAAATGTTCAGAAACCTTCAAAACGTCGAGAAAAGCAAAAATTTTCATTTTCGATTTTCGGCCCATTACTGTAACTACCCTACGGGAAGTTAACAAGAAATTTTACACGAGATAAATTAAATTAATAGTTATTCGAACTCTGATGATGAATTTTTAGGACGGAGGAGCAGAGCAAGGTTACGTACAGTGTTACCTTTGTAAAAAAATGTACCCTTGAAATTTGTCTTTGGCATTGGTTGAATATTGTAACTATTCTTTCGTAAAACATCTTCAAAATTGAAAATAAGAAATTGGACCTGTTTGTCCCCTGGCCGTCCCATTTCACCCCATGAGGTAAAAAGGACCAGGTGACAAATTCGAGGAAAACTGCAAAAACAAACACATTTTTACAGTGATTAAAAAACAGGTTTTACTGAACATAGTCAGATAGTTGTTTGCTTGATATATGTCATTTGTTGTGATATAATTGGTTCGGATTGCACAATATAATTGCTCGAATTTAAATTGGATTTCTGTGCCCTAATACACAAAATTGAATTAAACTTGAATACATAAGAAACTTTATATTCGATTGTTTGTCGATTTATTTACAAGGATTTAAAAGCTTACTATTGCATGAAAGAATCACAGTAAAAGAACCGTGCAAAAATAACTCGGAATGCATGTAGGTTTTATGACATCGAAATGCTTCCAATCTCATTTCTCAGGAAATGTATTGATGACATTGTTGATACGTTCTAGTTTGATGGTTGCACGTAACTAGAACACTGATGCTACCTAAAATAATGGAAATTTATGTCGAAACTTGAGTACGAGCACGCGAACACAATTTATTACTGCAACTATTTCTTCATGTGCAAGTTTCCGATACTTCGCCAACACGAGAGTGCAGTTTATTGACGATGGCGGCTTTCGGCATCGATCTTTAACAAGGAATTCTACTGCCTTGAAAAGGAACGTTAAGATTCTTTCTAGATTTTATTCTTTACGAAGTCACATTTTTATGTGTTCTTTTTTACTTCTCGTAGGGTAAGTTATAGTGATCGCAAATAATTGAAAATGAAAATTTTCATGCTTTAGAAAAAATGAATTTTTGTGTGTGTGTATGTGTGTGCGTGCGTGTTTGTGTGCGGATACAAATTTTTGTCGACGATTTCGGGAATACGGATCAACTGATTTGAATAATTTAGAAAACATTCTATTCGTATTAATAAGGAGACATGCTGATTAGTTTTAGGCAAAGGCAGGTCTAGCCGTTTCGAAGGCATGGGGAAAAAAGAACGAAAGAAGGTAATTCTGTTTTTGAGAGAACGAAGCGTATGATTTGAATAATTTAAAAAAAATTATTTGTATTGACTAAACGAAGAACTGTTTAAATTTTTGTAAAGGCAGCGGTTATGAACTCTCGATATTCTCAACAGTATGAAATAGCCGATTTGCATTATTGAAAAAACATTCGGTACTCGATCGCGAGGCGTTTTTGCAAAAGGCACATCCTGCCGTTCCGGAGGTCAGGAGCGCAAAGGGTGTAAAAATGGTCATGCAGTTTTTGAGAGAACGGATCATCCGATTAGATAAATTCAAAAAACGTTTTGCTAGTGTAGAAGGTGTGCAAAAAATGGTTTTAGAAAAAATGTTGTAGTTTTGAAAAATTTCAAACAAAAAAAAATTCAAAATTTTCAAAAAAAAAAATTAAATTTTCAAAAACTCAAATTTTTGAAATTTTTCATTTTGAAAAGAAAATCTAAATTTCGAAAAATTCGAAAAATATCAAAATTAAAAAAAAGAATTTTTACAAAAATTTGAGAATATGTTTGAATTTTCAAAAAGATCAGATATTATCAAAAATTTCCAAATTCTAAAAACAATAAAAAAACGATTTTTTTCGAAAATTCTAAAAAATTTCGAACTTATAATAAATTTCAAAAAAATCAAATTTCAAAAAAAATTGAAGTAATTTCTTATAACATACACATAAGTTGTTTGTAGAATACGCTCGTCGCCCAATAAGCACTTATTAATTTACAGTAAGTAGTTATAATAAATAATGATTTGAAATTATTTAAAACAATTATTGATTATTTTCTTTCCTCGAATTTTTAATTACGATATGGGAAGTTCCAGCAATTTGCCTTACGGCACAATGCCATGCACGAATAATAGACTATATCATCTAATGAGAAAAAATCAATTGCTTAGCGATCAATTATGGGTGCACCTTGGTGAAATATTCAACATTGGATTTGGTTGACGATGACGGGGTTTTGTGTCGATCTAGGAAAAGGAATCTTACTTTTTCTAGAAATAACATGTTTTAAAAAGAGATTGCTATTTGGAAAGTCAATATTCTTGAAAGCGTTTTTTCCTTGAAATACTAACTTGTATTCAACGTAGAATTCTATTCGAAATAATGCTTTGTTTTTTCAGCAAAAATATCAATTATTGACTATATTAGAATAAATTTTTCGTTTTTTGCATGATAAAAGGGCATTTCTTAAAAATAAACTTTACTGCAATAAGTTTTGCTGCGGATGCCAAAACAGATATATCGTGCATAGATGCATTTTTCCTGGGAAATCACTTTTTCATGAGAATGGTTTATGTATCATAATCATAACATATAGGGTGTAAGATATATTATGAATAATATTATTAAAGGTATAAAGTGGTACAAATTTACCTTCTAATGACACTGTCTCTCTAAATTCTTCAGTATCTTGTGATTTTGTCGAACTTTGACAATCAGCTAGAGACAAGTACAAGCATATGATTAAACATAGCCAAAATACTCGTGAAAGTGGTTCCAAAAATACGTTTTTTGACATCATGAGAGTTGTCTGTGGAAGAAAAATATAATTATTAGACAAAATAAAAGATTAGATAAATCTATATGTGTATATATATATATATATATATATATATATATATATATACAGAGAGTCCCTGAACTTAACGTCAAGCCAAAACGGGATGAAAGTATTGACCTTAACTGTTCTGACAAAAATTATCTCACGTTGTTTCAAATTATGAGCTTTTAAGTGCGACCTGGAGCTTTAGTGAAATTATGATCATTTTTCGGTTATTGTGGTTAATTTTTTTTAAATTTAAACTTTACAATTTTCGATTTACTAATTTCCCGTAGGGTAAGTTATAGTAATCGCAACAAAATCGAAAATGAAAATTTTTGCATATCTTTACTTTTCAAAGGTTTCTGAATATTTTAGCATACCTTACAAAAAATGGACGTATGTGTGTGTATGTATGTCTAAATACAATTTTTCGTCCACGATTTCGGGCGCATCGATCAACCGATTTGAATGATTCGATTCCTACAGATGGGGAGATGTACTGATTAGTTTTTAGCGAAGGCAGGTCCAGTCGTTTCGAAGATACGGCGAAAAAAGTGCCAAAATTGGTAATTCAGTTTTTGAGACTGATGACCCTTCGAGATCGATTTTTGATACTTTTTTTGAGCAGTATGACCACCTAGAGAGACTATTGCTTTGCATTTAGCATGTGTGGTAAGTCGGTGAGTGGTGTACATCGATTACGCTGTCGATACTTTTTGAGTACTATCGACGAGAACTATCGATACCGGCAAATATATCGAGCTTAAATATCGATACCAAAAGTACTTACTATCGACCGCAAAGTATCGATCTTTACTCAATACTCGATATATCGTTCTAAAACTAGTTTCGGCTTGACGTTAAGTACTGGGATGCCTGGTATATATTCATATGCAAGTAATGTACTCATACTATTCTGCACATCATAATGTTATAGAATTTTATAGAGATATCCATATTATAATTTATTATAAAATATTTTTCTCGTCAAAGATATAGTATGGTACATAAATTCGTCGACTTCTATTCTACGTATATCTGGATTTCAATGTCGATTTCAGTGAACATTGATTTGACTTCAAGATAAGAACTATAGATGGATATACAACAATGAGGAGCAGTTTCTAAAAAGGAGAAAAAACCTAATCAGGCTTTTTTCTGCACACGTATCATTAAATAGTATAATAAAATTTCTAAAAGCTTCGCTTTCATTCAATTACACAGTTCATTTGAACTAATGGAATTTGCGTGTACAATTTCGTTCTCACTCATAAACGCAAGTAAAGATATCATTAAAACTAAAACGACTTCATTCTGCAGAATAAAATTTATTTGATAAGGATTCTGAAGAATACTTAATTGATAAGATTTAATATCAAAATTATTTATTCTTACCCTGAAGTTTGATTTTGCTATTATCAAGTATATCATATGATATCATAAACTCGTATAAGTACAAACAAGAGTGCCAGTATATTCTAGTTTAAAAGTTCATAAGGGTATATGTATATGGGTCATTCTTTTACAAATCGTACAGATTTTGGGCAAAAAAATATATGACATTTTAGAATTCTGAAAATTTGTTTACAGATACTATTCATAAAATCATTTGACACGTATTTCAGGATTTTGCTTTAAAAATTTTTTTAAATGAAATATTTATGATTGAAATTTGAATAATTTGCTCAATTTTGATGGTCTTCCTCTGCATTAATCTTAACATCTCCAGTTGTGGTGAACAGATCAGTATGTTTTTTTTTATTGTACTCATTTTGAATTCAACTTTCTGTTAATTGAAAAAAATAAATTGTTTTTGCAATTTTTTAACAAAAAAACCAGTCTATTGTTAACATAGGATTTACATACCCTTTCCCCAATTCGGATCGATTGAAATAAACAACATAATTATATCCGAAGAAGTTGTCTTTGACAGAAAATAGAAACAATTGGAGTATTCTAAAGATTCGGGCGCACATGTTTGCAGGCAGTCCTAATGAAACAACATCGGGTAAAAGTTTCAATTATTTCATAAAACAGTATTGTTAGGATTGTTAGATATTAATTATTAGATATGTACTCATGTTTCTTGGCCTCTGATCAACCCAGATAGATGGGCAGGTTTCAAAGAGCAAAATACATCTATTTTTTATATTATTTTCACCTAAAACTGAAGTAAATGTTTTGTACTTTTTAAATTATAACAAAAGATTTTGAATCAGATAATTGCATAATTGAGATGATTTTAAACGCCCATGGATCATTTCAGGAACATCTATCAACAAAATATAACAATTGCTCTATAAGTGAACATTGCGCTCAAATGATGATAAATGGATCAGTTTCTGGTTAACCTTTGACCCACAGGTGAAAAAATAGGTTTAATTCATAATATTTTTTAAATATGCGATATAGTGTTTATTATTTACACAACTTGTTTATTTTAGATTATTGCATTTGATAATCAGCAAAAGATTGAGATGCTGCTTCACAAATTGGTGTAAATTCTTGTCAGATATGTTCCTTAGTATATTCAGAATTGTTTGCCATATATAAGAACAGAATCCCAAGTTTTGCAAGGGATCTTTTCATTGAGCAAAGTAAGTAGTATTTTATTTTATATAAATAGTTTATTTTTGCAATTAAGGGGCCGTATCTTCGGAACGGCTGGACCTGCCTTGGCCAAAAACTAATCAGCACGTCAGCCGATCAATAGGAATCAAATGTTTTTTGAATAATTCAAATCGGTTGATCTGTGTTCTCGAGAGCGTCGACGTAAATGTGTATTCGCACATACATACATACATACTACACACATATACATTCATTTTAATTAATATTTTTGGCTTATTAGGATATGCCAAAATATTCAGAAGACTTTCAAACGTGAAAATTAAAAAAAATTCATTTTTGAGTTATTCGCGACTACTATGACAAACTCTACTAGAACTCAAAAAAAAAAATTATAGTAACGCGAACCAAAATTTTATGATAGATCGTTTTTATATTATATGCCAAAAATGACGGACTTACACAGTTCTGTTTATTGTGTCAGCCTGTGGGATAGTAGCTTTGACAATATTATGCAGGACATTTTACATGTTCATTGAAGACAAAAAATAGTTTAATATTCTATGGAAAAACGCCTGTTACAGATTGCCCCTAGCTCCCCTACATGCAGTGTGGAGTATTAGTACACTAGAACTTGAAAGCTTATAATTATATATGTCTATAAAATATTGTTCAAACTACATAATAGTTGATATATGATAATATTGCGCATAATGAAATTCTAGTACAAGAATGCATAATAGCATCGGAGCGCGTATTTGTGTAGTAGTGCTAGTATAGCATATGAGTATTCGATTGATCAGTACAAAACAGATTGATAACACGTGGTTTGTAAATCACTAATTCCAATGCAATTTCTCGTCTTCGCGCCTTGTTTAACAATGAAATGAAATTCCTTCAAGGTGAATAATAAATTCAGCATACTTTCTGTCAGTTTATACAAAAATCTACGTGACGCTCGACTCACCTGGAGTTCATTCCGCGATCTACGAGCAACAAAGAACGCATCAAGTTTTACTCTTAACGAAGATTTGACCGAGTAACGGTCGAAGAATGAACACTTCGGCACACTTTCAATTCACTAAGATAGATCAGAGATAGATAGATCGACGTACAAAGTCTAGGAATTCAATAGTTGAAAATTCAGAATGGTATTTGAATTTGTTACGCACCTGACTTATAAGGAGAACGTCAGGTTTACGCGCTCGCGAATTCGACGGAACTTCGCATAGTGATAGTCAATTTTTTAAAAATATTATATGCCTATGGGAAATTAGTAACGCTTTTTTGATATTACACGACTTGCTGAATGCTTCGTTAGATTTAAATACGTTCAAAATTTTCATAAATATTGAAAATTATTAACTACCCGTAGGATGAGTTATAACAATCGCAAAAAAATTGAAAATGAAAATGTTTATTAACTTCCCGTAGGGCAAGTTATAGTAATCACAATCAAAAAAATCGAAAATGAAAATTTTTGCATTTCTCGACGTTTCAAAGGTTTCTGAATATTTTGGCATACCTTAGAAAAAATGGATGTATGTGTGTGTGTGTGTGTGTGTGTGTGTGTGTGTGTGTATGTATGTATGTGCGGATACAAATTTTCGTCGACGATTTCGGGAACACTGATCAACCGATTTGAATAATTCAAAAAACATTTGATTCGTATTGATAAGGAGACGTGCTGATTAGTTTTTTGGCGAAGGCACGTCTAGCCGTTCCGAAGATACGGGGCAAAAAGTGCCAAAAACGGTAACTCAGTTTTTAGGAGAACGGAGCGTCCGATTTTAATAATTCAAAAAATATTTTACTTGTATTGACAAGGTGAAGAACCATAACCAGGTGAATTTTCATAAAGGTAGGTCGAGCGGTTTCGGAGATCTAATAAAAAAAGTAAAAAAAAAAGTCATTTGACGGTCAAAAATAATCATTAGACATATGCATATCAAATTATCAGATATTTTATAGAGATTTTAACGTAAAAAAAGTATAAATTTGGCTTACATTTCTATGGGTTCCGTACCAATGTTTACGCGTTAGACGGCGACGCGGCGCTTACGCGCTTTGATATTTCGTCTTTATGAAGTTAAAGCAGTACGATTGCTTTGAAAAAAAGTTTAGATCTTCCAAAATATGTCAAAATAAAGAAAAAAATTTTTTTCAAAAAAAAATTTAAAAAAAAAAAAAAAAATTTTTTAATTTTTTTTTCAAAAAAAAGTAATTTTTTGTCCAATGTATAGTTTCTCAAACATCTTATTTTTTTTAAGTAAAATTTTTTCAAAAATGTTAATTGTTTTTAAACAAATAATAATTTTTGGTACGGAAAGTTCCAGCAATTTGCTTCAAGGCACGATGCCTTAATTGCCTTAAGACAGAATTCCACTTACAGCTAGTATATCTTTACGTTTGAGAAGTTTCTGAATATTTTGGCATACCTTAGAAAAAATGGATGTATGTGTGTATGTTTGTGCGGATAAAAAATTTCGTCGATGATTTTGAGAATATGAATCAACCGATTTGAATAATTCCCGTAGGGCAAGTTATAGTAATCGCAAAAAAATCGGAAATGAAAATTTTCATATATCTTTACGTTTCAAAGGTTTCTGAATATTTTGGCATACCTTAGAGATATTGGATGTATGTGTGTGTGTGTGTGTGCGGATACAAAATTTCGTCGACGATTTCGGGAACGCCGATCAACCGATTTGAATAATTCAAAAAACATTCGGTTTGTATTGATAAGGAGACGTGCTGATTAGTTTTTGGTGAAGGAAGGTGGAGCGGTTCCGAAGATATGGGGCTAAAAGTGCCAAACACGCTAAGTAAGTTTTTAAGAGAACGGAGCGTCCAATTTTAATAATCCAAAAAACATTTTACTTGTGTTGACACGATGAAGAACTGATTAAATTTTTGGGAAGGCAGGTCTATGGGTTACGGACACTCAATAAAAATAAATTTAATAAATGTCATTTGGCGGTCAAAAAAGTTTATTGCACATATGTACATCAAATTATCAGATATTTTATAGAGATTTTAATAATGTGTACACATTTTGTTTTTTTTTTGGGTTCCGTACCAAGATTTTTAATTACGGTACGGGATGTTCCAGCAATTTGCCTTAAGGCACGATGCCATGCACCCCACTAGTTTAAAAACCATTTAGTTTACTGTGATAAGGAGAGTTGCTGATTAGTTTTTGGCAAAGACAGGTCCAGACGTCTCGAAGATACGGGACAAAAAGTGCTTAAAGTTGTAATTCAGTTTTTGAGAGAACGAAGCATCCGTTTGAATAATTCTAAATTATTCAAAAAACGTTTTATTTGTATTGACGAAACGAAGAACTGATTAAATTTTTAAGAAGGCAGGTCCAGCGATTTCGGAGATCCATAAAATAAGTAACAAAAACGCGATTTGGCATTCAAGAATGATCATTAATTATATACAAATCAAATTATCAGATAGCACATATAAATTTTAATAATATGTACAAACTTTGTTTATATTTCTATGGGTTTCGTACCAATGTTTATCCATTGGACTGTGATACGGCGCTTACGCGCTTCGATATTTTTTCTCTAAAACAGCCACGCAGCACGATTCCAGCAATTTGCTTTAATTTAGTACGTTTTGACACGAATTATGTACAGTCATTGATTAGTTTATACCGTTCATAAATTCTGAGAGAACACAACAAAAAAGTATTGATCTTTTTCGGAGTTTTAATTAATAGTGGAATCTCCAAAACAAAATAAAAATTATGATATTTCTTAGGTGGGCACATGCATTTCCAATACTAATAGATGTGTATTGATGACGCAAAATAATAATGAAACAAAAGCAAACAGCAAAATGAAACAATATATTGTATTACCGCATAAAAATATAAAAAAACACCATAACCACAACCAATGAACCAATTACGTTTATTACAGTCATATTTAATAATAAATATATAAACTATTAGTGCATAGTATAGTGCCTTAAGGCAAATTGCTGAAACTTCCCGTACCGTAATTTCAAGTTTTTAAAATCTTTAAATTTTTTTGGATTTTGAATTGAAAATTCCTTCCCGTAGAGTAAGTTATTATAATCGTCCAAAAATTGAAATTGAAAATTTTTACATATCTTCACGTTTTCTGAGGTTTCTGAACATTTTGACAAACCTTAAAAAAAATGGATGTGTGTGTGTATATATGGATACAATTTTTCGCCCACGATTTCGGGCGCACGGATCAACCGATTTCACGGGTTCAAAAAACATTCGATTCCTATTGATAAAGAGATGTGCTGATTGAAAAGTCAGTCCAGGCGTTTTAGAGATACGGAGCTAAATGTGCAAAAAATGGCAGTTTTTGAGATAAATAAACATACGATTTAAAATTACTCAAAATATTTTAATAGTCTCATGTACATTTTTGTATCTTTTGTATTATAAATCGTGCCTGATTTTAATGCAAACTATTTTGTTTTATTATTATGTTTTACCTTCAAGTAATAAATACCTTCATTTGTGTACTATATTCAGATTGTAGATAAGAAAATATATATTTTGGTTAATGGTTAAATCATATTATATAGGATCAAATCATATAAATTTTGTAGGTTATTCAAATTAGTAAGTAACGTTGATAGTTGTTTTTTCCTAAAGAAATATTTATAGGTTAAATTCTAACTGTACATCCATTAGCGATGAATGATTGAAAGAAAGTCAAATCGCTCGAAAAACATGAGGAATGCCGAATGTATAAATATATTTTTCAATAAAGCTAAGCAAAAACTTCTAACTTTTTTGTTAAATTCCACGCGAATGAAGTCGCAGGTATAAGTATATATATATATATATATATATATATTAGGGTGGTCCTTAATATGGAAATTTTCGAATTTCCTTGCTCCCAAGGGCTCAAATGGTTCCAAATTGATAAAAAATGATTCTCTGAAAGTTTTAGCTTTGAATATTAACTTTTAGACAGTGCGCAATTCAATCAAACTTCGTATGGAATTAGCATTGAAAATTTTTTGAAAA